GGTTGCAGACAAACTCAGACTAGCTGAGGTATCAAACAAAAGTTAATGCAGGGTGCACAAAAACTAGCCCATAGCAGAAGTTGTAGCAATAGCAGCAGTAGTAGCAAGTGCAGGGCAGTAATAGGACTAGCAGCTGTAGAGCAGCAGCAGCAGGAGTTAGCAGTAGTAGTATTAGTACTACTACTACTACTAGTAGTAGTGATAGTAGTAGTAGCATGAGTCGTAGTAGGAGTAGCAGCAGTAGTAGTAGTAGCAGTATCAGCAGCAGTAGCAGTACTACAGCGACTGCTACTGCGACTGCTACTGCTACTACTACTATTTGTACTAATAGTACTATTACACACTACTACTACGACATACTAGTAGTAGTAGTAGTAGTAGTAGTAGTAGCTAGTACTAGCAGTAGTAGTAGTAATAGTAGTCATAGTAGTAGAAATAGGAGTAGTAGTAATAATAGTAGTAGTAGTAGTAGTAGTAGTAGTAGTAGTAGTAGTAGTAGTAGTAGTAATAGTAGTAGTAGTAGTAGTAGTGGAAATAGTAGTATTAGCAGTAGCAGTCGCAGTCGCAGTAGTAGTAGTAGTAGTAGTAGTAGTAGTAGTAGTAGTAGTAGTAGTAGTAGTAGTAGTAGTAGTAATAGTAGTAGTAGTAGTAGTAGTGGAAATAGTAGTATTAGCAGTAGCAGTCGCAGTCGCAGTAGTAGTAGTAGTAGTAGTAGTAGTAATAGTAGTAGTAGTAGTAGTAGTAGTAGTAGTAGTAGTAGTAGAAGAGCTAGTAGAAGAAGTAGAAGTAGTAGTGGTAGACTCGGCAGAAGCACCAGCAGCAGCAGTAGCACCCTGTGCCAACTGCCCCTTCTCCGCGCGAACTGACTAGCCACCTAAACGAACCGCCCTCTCCAGCTCCGCCCCTTCCTCCGGCTCCACGCATGAAGGACACCGCTTTTCGTCGGAGCGCGAAGGATACGAAGCAAATGGCTGCTCAAAAAACCGGAATTCCAAGATGGCTTGCCCTGGCAATTGGACACATGGACCAACACCTGCGGTTTGCCCCTCCTGTTTAATTTTGAGCCACAGACAAATATGGTTGACCCTGAATCATTTTTTGTTGGAAGAAGATCTTTGCATCTCAGTTCCAAAGGAAAGATGATGTTGAACTGCTCCACAACCCCTAGTGCAAAAACGAAACTGATTCAATCACAGGTGGATTGGGCAAATCAAGTCTGAACTGCTTGCTTCAAAACGTGTACAGTCCCGAAACCAGGTTTCAATCACCAAAACCAGGGGATTGCAATGGGATGGGGACCCTCAGCTAGGTCCTCCAGTAGAGAGGACCAGCTTTTTTCTTTTTTGTGGATAGTAGGGTTGAACCCTCCCAACCCAAAAAGAAACGGTGAGTGGTCGGGCACCAATTGCTGAGGTCCCTAGCAGAGTTGCCCTTCCTTCTCCCTTTTATCCCGGTCCTCACGGCTGCATTTGGCCAGCACCGCCTTGCGTGCCTCATCAAAGCTCAGCTTCTCCTCGGCGGACGTGTCTGATTGGGGTCTCAAAACCGCGGTCCCCTGTCGGATGGCTCTAAAGGGGAACCAAATGGAATAAACCTAGTCTGGGGGTCTTCACTATTGAGAAACACCCATTTGGCCCCCTGTTTCAAGCGCCCAACGGAAGGGCGCCCTTAAATGGAGGCTCTGTTCAATCCTTTTGCCAAGGCAGCGACTCACCTGTTTGAGGAACCAAATGGATTGTGATTTCCGTTGCCTTTGCCATTCCAAGATTCGTTTGACAAGTTTGCGCGGCGCGTTGGTGCCGATTGTCTTCGCCAATCAGTTCGATCCTCTTGTTCAGGCTTGAACAAAAGCGCGCGCGCCAGCCGAAGCAGCAACAAAGGCAGCAAAAGGCGCAGAGGAGCAGCAGCAGCAGCAGCAGCAGCAGCAGCAGCAGCAGCAGCAGCAGCATCAGAACGACCGCCGCCACCGAAGACAACAGCGAAAACAAGGACAAACGCAACCCGGTCCCCACCAGATGACAACTAGAACGACGACGGCAGTACGAACAACAGCCCTTGCGTTGGTGTTTCTCAGACTTAGCGGGACCCTACAGGCGGCAGGGAATTTGTGATTTCCCCTGAAACAACATTTAGAGAACAATCACAACGATAGACAAACTAATTTTGGAATTTGCAACCAACTCTTTCCGACACGGTTCGGCCCGAAGTCTACACGAAGAAGGGCTGAAAATGGGAACAGTGTCGTAGTGGAAGGGCTTTGCAGTGTCATTTTTGTGTGGGATACCCTTTCAAAACGGCACATGCCACCGAAACGCTCCCCAGAAAAGACTGAGACCTATCTTTGACACCCTCGCATTTGAAACATGCCCCACTTTGTTCAGAATGATTGGCGCTGAATGCAACCTGGTAGCCTCAGAATCTTCAAGAATCCCTGTGTGGAGCCTCTTTCTGCAGGGAAAACACCAAGGATCCTCGGCGTTTCGCACCGAACGAACCAACCATGCAACGAACCCAGACACTCTGGACACCAGGTTGTGCCGAGAAGGGAAATTCTCTCAAGCAAATACCTGGTGGTGGGGGGGGGGTTCGGAAAGACTTGGACCACTGGACAGTTTGGATACATAAATGTATGTACACAATTAACACACATTGTGATGACAGGTGTACGCACACACACACACATAAACATATGTGTAATACTGTGGGTGGACGAAATCCTGCACCCAGAAACCCTGGATTGATGACTCCCCTGCAAATACCAACCGTTTCCAAGAAACCTGGGGCAGAATTTCGTCCACAGTAGGTATGCGCGGTGACTCCAAGCCCAGCCTGGCGCTAAGTTGCTCTTTTACACTAGCACTGAGTTGCTCGCAACCGCTATGAGTTTCTCCAGAACAGGTTCCGCCTTACTAGCCCGCGAGACATCTGCGAAACCAATCAAACGTGTTGGACATAAAGAGATGCAATGAGCTCAAGATGTCAAAAACATGCTGCACATATTTCAGATCCACACGCATGAACCAATGAACTTACATCTGCTTCTGACTACCAACAGTGAAGTACGAATTAGAGGACACGATAACTGGCCGCAAGTTCGATTCAGAATTCATCAAATACAAAGCCAGGCATCGAACTTATGCGTTGGTACCACCCCAAGTAGGTTTAAGGAGGTGAACAACCCCTAAAAACACCAGTCAAAATCACCACTGGGCACCAAAATGGGTGACTGTCCTTGACTTCCCAAGGGGTCAAAACAAAAGAGCAACACCCCCAACCCACTTGCGTAGCGCAGGCTCGGTCTTCTGCTTCTTTGCTGCGGGCTCTGCCATGGCTCCAAAACTCGGGCTGCGACGTTCCGAAAGCGCAAGCTGAGCCAAGCGAGGCGGAAGAGGTAAGGCAGGAGGAAAACGTGTCAGGTTGTCAAATATAGTGTTTTTGTGTTTGGGGGATGCAAATGAAATTTGGTGTTTCCCTTAAAGAGGCGTCCACTGATCTTCACAACCCTCCATCCATGTGGGAGTGTACCTAAAATACGGGACACCCTGATAGTCCATGCTCAAAAGAAAGCTAAGAGGAAACCAACTATTTTCTGTGTAATCAATGCTTATGTCTGGAAACACCAAGTCACGCTTTGGAAAACAGCGTTCCGGTTCCATCTTAGTAGACAGGAGGGTGATCTGCGCGTACCAGAGCTTCATGTTGGGGAGGCTCAAGCATCAGAAGTACCTCAGTGCCAGTGGTCCCTTACAGCTCACCTCGCAAGCTCTCAAGCTTGCCACCAGACCATCGGACACAAACGCATCAAGGGGTAAACCCACGACGAATATGTAAATCAAGCCAGAGCTGGACATAGCGCCATGTCCGCAGACGTGTTCCCTCAGGTGGTACAAATCACGATAGCTGTTGCTCCGAGAACTCTATGCAGGTAGAACATCGGCACCAACAGCCACCAAATGAAACCAGGGTATGAGAGAGGGTTGGACAATGGGGGTTGATAAAACCCTTTGCCTGGAATGACCAGTTGGGGGCACCCACTAAGAATAAAAAGTGGGACAAGTGAGGCGGAAGAGGTAAGACAGGAGGAAAAGAACACGTGCCAGGTTCTCAAATATCGTGCTTTTTTGTGGTTGGGGGCTGCAAATGAAATTTTGTGAACGTGCCATGTTGTCAAACATTGTTTTGTTTGTTTTTTGTGTTTGGGGGATGCGAATGAAATTTGGTGTTTCCCTTAAAGAGGCGTCCACTGATCTTCACAACCCTCCATCCATGTGGGAGTGTACCTAAAATACGGGACACCCTAAAATACGGGACACCCTGAAATTGGGGGCACCCACTGTCTGGGACAAGTTACTGTGGATGGGTTGAAGATCCAGTTCGCGGAGCGCGGAATGAAACCGGTTGCGGGCATCGAAGCAGAAAACCAGCGCTACTCCTGGTATGGGCTTGCGAAACACCGTTGCTTGTTGCAGACCCCCCCGGTAAAAATGAACAGAATCAAACAAACAAACAAAAAAGAACACATGCCAAGAACAGTGAAGTGAAACTGTTGGGTTTCTGAACAGTGCCGAGGATCGCAAGCCCTTCCAGAGTACGTTTGTTGTGCTTCTTTTTGGAAGGAACCTCCTTGTTTAATGGGCTTTAACAGGGGAAACCCAGAGGAAGGAAGCCATTTTGGAGGGAACCCTAAAAAACAACACACCCATGGTGTGGCTCAAAAACAAGGACTTCGGGTTGCGCAGGTCTTGGTCTTCGCCATTTGCCAAGGTGCCGAATCTTGGGCTCCATTTTTTTTTAGCCACAACCATATTTGTTCATCTTTGGTGAACCTCGAAATTCACAAAGCTCAGAGAGTTCGAAAAGCGCATCACCAGACCCCAAAAAAAACAAAAAAAAACAAAAAACAGACCTAGTACAAGACAAAACACTACCTCCTTGGTGAACCTCGAAAGCAACAGAAGCTCCAAGACTTCGTTCCAAGCGCATCGGATGCGAGCGCCAGCCTTCTGCTCACAGATCTGCAGGACTTGTCTCGCCTTCTGCACGTCCTGATGCGCGTTCCAGCGGTCTCCGATTCAGCTCGTTCTCGATTCACATTGGTTCGGTTCTTCAGTGACCCCGAGAAAAGAAAAGGGAACTAAGTCTTTTTGGGCTTGGACCGAATTTTTAGTGGGGAGCCACCAAAAAAAGTTGGAAAAAGAATTGGGGCCACTGAACAACTGAGATTAGTTCTATGCCGCCAACTAACAAACAAACAACTTTTCGGAGGTGCCCATACATTTTGATCCACAAAACAAGCCAAAAAGGACGAATTACTTTATTTGAGTTGCAACCTAAAGATCAAGACTCTTGGTCGCTAGCAAGCTCTCTGGCGTGCCTTAAGGCTTCAAGCTCTCGCCTTCAAGAACCTAAAGGCTTGTGCCTGGGCGATGTCTGACCGAAAACTGGCCACATGGCTGTGGTTGTCAAAACCAATGGGATCCCATTTTGGGGTAGGTGCACCACCCATTTTAGTCTATTTTAGTTGGGATTGGGATGTTCACTGGGGTATTGGCTTTGGACCCATGGGCCCATGGCCACATCACTCACAGGCGTGCTCTCCCAATAGTTTTGATAGTAACAAAAACACCCCGCGTCACGTCCAAGAAGAATATGCAACACTCATCTCCAAATGTTAGATTTCAAGATTGGTACGAGAACTAGCATGACGCCCTCCTAGCAAGACCTGGCAGGCGTAAATTACACCCTGTACCAAACCACGGACCAAACCTCGAAACCAGTGCTCTCGCAACCGTGCCCTTACCCTGGGGTTCAAACCAACGTTGACACAACGGGGGTTGATGTAAACCAGCATTGTTTACTTAGTAGTCGTCATCATCTAAAGTGGGTCAACCATTCTTTCAATGGGGGTTGAATCCTCCTGAGCCCCAAAAAAGCAAATTACACCAGCATGGGCCCCAAATAGCATTGGACATTCAACCGGAATAGCTGAAATTTCCACGGCGAATCAAATCGGGCATTCAGGAAGCAAGGTGATACTGCAACCACAAACCACTATGCATATATATATATAACATATATACATACATAATTGATATATACAGCGCTCCAATGAACTCAGCAACATCGTGATGCTTTTGGCAGCATCATGATGATACCACATCCACAAACCATTGTTCGCTACATATATTATGCACACACAGCGTCTTCATGAATTCAGCAGCAGCATGATGATCTTTTGCAACATCATGATGATTGCACAGCGATAAATAATTACGCGCTACATTTAAGCGGCAGCGTTCCAATGAATTCAACCCCATCAATATGATTTTGACAGCATCATGATGATACCACATCCACAAACAATTGTGGCTGACAGGCACCCAGAACAGCACCAAGACCAGCATCTGCACCAGCACCCGCAAAAGCTCCCTAGCAGACGCCGGTCAGGTTGCTGTTTGTGTGCTTAAGGTGCTGGTGTGCGCGCCGGTTGTTGGCGGAGCTTGTTTGGCGTTGTAGTCAGGCACCGCCCTTGAGCACACGCAACCACCACAGCACCTCACCACACCAAATAGCTTCTTCACCTGCACACAACAAGACAGCCTGACCAGGATCGCCAAACAAGCACCGCCCCTCCCTGAGCACACCAAAAACCAACCTGACCAGCACTCTGACCAGCATCTTGACCAGCACCGGCAGCACCAAGACCGGCACCCCCACCAGCACCCACAACAGCGCCCTAACTGCAGCGCCAAGCAAGCGCCAGAACTGCTTGACCAGCTCCCAACCAGCACCCTGACAAACACCAGCGAACTGCATCGCAACACGCGCACCACCAACCGCCACGACGGCTTGAGCACAGCAAACAGCACCATGACCAGCACTTGTCGTGAGCACCTTGCCCAGCACCCGCAACAGCATCCATGCTGCATCTGCAAAACAAGGTTGCGTCCGTGAAATCCTGTTGCGTAATTAGTAAGCCAACACAAGCACCGCCAACAACCACCACATCGCCTTCAGTCACAAACACCCTGACCAGCACCATAACCAGCACCCAGACTGCAGCAACACACAAACAATGCCAGGAAACACCACTGGCCAGCACCGAAAACACCTTCCTGACTGCAGCGCCAAACAAGCATCGCTATAACCACCACCCACCTGCCCGATTTCGCAAAACAATCCCCGCCCCTTTAGCAGTGTGAACCCCTATAGCCAAAGCCATTGTCCGGGTGGTCATTGAACGAATTACCCATCCCCCTTCTTCCTATTGGGGAAACTTCACCTGGGCTGTTATATATATATATATTTAAAAAAAAAAAAAAAAAAACAAGCACACACACACAACCTGTTCCAAGAGGACAAGGTGTCAATTTAGGACAACGCGCCCTGGGTTTTGGAGCATCTCCACCTTTCTCCTTCGTGATGGACCAAAGAACTGGGCAGTCCGTCAGATTCCCCGCAAAAAGCGGCTAACTTCTTGTGGGTCAAAGGGAAACTACCACTCAACCCACCTAAAAACCACCGAAAAACCCGGGGCCGGACGGCCGGGAACCACCAAGAGCAGTTGCCATTTGTGCTCGACCTCTTGCCTCACTTGGCGCCAGCGAGACGAGACGATGAGAAACAAAAAAAGGCGGGGCGTCCCGCCTCCTTGACCTTCTCCGGCGGGCCAAAATTGCCCTGGCGAACGGACCGCGGAGTTTTTCTTCTTCGAATTTCAGCCTTCCACTTCTGGCGTCCTAACGCAGCTAAGGCTTCCAAAGCTGTTGGGCTTGAGCCTGGATCCCCTTAAGCTAATCAATCTGGTGGTGTCCATTAGAACTGATTCATTTGGAGGTCCCAAAAAGGGACATGGAGGAACCCCGGTGGCTTGGCGGTTTGGATTGGAGATTTCAATTCTTCAGGTCACCCTTTGGCGAGATTTCAACCCTGGTTCTTGAGGAACCCGCCGGGAAAGACACGAAAAAGTTGCGGGCTCCAGCTCCAAAGGAATTGGACCCGTTTCGGGCGGCTAAGAATTGGAACATTGGAACCCTTGAAAGGGGGCCAGGACCAGTGAGGAAGCCACCAAACCAAAAGTTGGAGTTGGTGGATGGAAATGATTTTGTGTGTCAAACCTGTGGGGGCCATGCTTTCCACTGACCCCAAAGCTCCAAACCTCCCCAGTGTTTCTTTTCTTTTTCCTGGGACAGAAAGGGCAACAAAAACAGATTTCCCCTTTGAGGCTACGAGTTTGGGGGTAGGGGAGGCCATCTTTGAAATCGAATCACTTTTCCCAGTGCCCCACACCTATGAAACCCATGGACTTTAGGTTCCAGCTGGGTTTGGCTCAGTTTGTATACCGTAGCCCTTGCAGGAGAACCCATCTGAAACCTAAGGGAACCGCTTGAAGCACTGAGGAGCTTTCGGGCGCTCGATTTGACATGGCTTGTGCTATGGTCAACACTCCATGAGCACTAGAGTGCACCTATTAATCTCTTATCATGTGCCCTCCTCACATTGGTTGAGGAATAAATCGTCGCCGCACAAGCGATTATAGAATGCTGCTGCAAAGAGACATGCATGAGAAAGGCATCCGCACGCGTACGGCCCCCCCAACTGCAAGCAGGGTATGAACGACTCTGACTTCCATCTGACTATTGAGCTTGCAGTCTCTTTTCTTTCCAGCAGGAAGGTGGCTTGCCCTTTTGCCGAATTTTACTGCTTCTTGCCTTGGACACAATGCGCCTTCAACGTAGTTTGCTCGAATAAAGAAATCATCTTCGAGCAAGTGAACAGTGGCAGTGGCGAGTGCTCCATTGCACCGCACGATAGGCCAATCTCGCTCGTTCGGACGGCAACTCTGCTACGCTTCCCGGGTAGACGATGAAACCATGATTTTCTGAATTGTATTCTTGGACCCTTTGGTGGACAACAGAATTCAGTGGTATTCATCTTCAACGGACACTTGTTCTTTCCCTATCACACTTCTTAGCCACTTGGCCTCAAGCAAGCACATGAAGCAGTTGGGGGAATGCCGTTCGTCACGCGCCGCCGCGTCTAATTCTAGTTGCCCCTAGGAGATAGCTCTAGCCTGCCGCCAGCTGGGAACACACACCTTCTGAATTTATCTAGCCTGCACTTGCTTTACATCGAGCAACCAAAGGTTATACCGCATGCCGGATGGCTGGACTATCGGATCCGCCTGGACCATCCTCTTCGCGAAAGAGGCCGCTGTCACAAAGTTCTCTGCCTGCCGCAAAGACTCCGTTAATGGGCTTGATCGACAGGCCGTTCGCATGTGAAGTGGATTGGCCAACAAAAAGTAACCAAGCTCCTTTTATTTACCACTAAAATGGTCCAAACCCAAACAGTGACGAAAGTCCAAGAACACAGGAAGTTAGTTTTGCCGTGCGCACGGCAAGCAACTACTCTGAAAACAATCAAAGAACCTAGTCTCCAGGGGAGCTTGCACATACCCCTTTACATACCCCTTGGGCGTATGAAATCAAAACCCGGTACAAAAATAATGGTCGACCCAGAATGGACCCAGAATCATGTAAAGAACTAAGCAGGCGGCCGCAGCTACTTATGGCTGGGATCATCCCTTACTAACCTTCACTTACCCGGGTTTTGATTGTGGTTCATATGAACCCAAAAGGCCTGCCATGTTCATACCCCCATACCCCTGATAAAGTGAGTTGGAAACCAGGGAGTGTGTACTTCCACCCTTAGACAGTCCGCTCAGCAACGACAAATACCGAACCGCTCCCAAGCATCTCTATACAAGTTGGTGTTTGGAATCCATGGAGAGAATGTCCTTGCTCCAAAGGAAGTCGCGCTTCCCATTGATTTAGGTGAACCATGTGCGGCTGGCTATGTTTCCAGCATTTTCTGATGCGAATCCAGACCTCCAATTGGATTTCCGTGGGAAAAGGGGCACACAGTTCCTGATTCCTGGTAGTTGTTGTCTTTCAGGTAAAAAACAAAGCAAGTTCTTGGTACAATATATTTGGATGTTAGAGGAAACAAAACACCTAAGAAAGCAAAACGGGCCACCTTCGTTCTGCAGGTTTGAGAGTACGGCACCTGGGCAGTACGGTGTCATTCCATCTGTCATCTCAGGGCTCTGTGTCAAACCAAAGAGCATGATGGTTAAAGGGAACTATGAACACAACAATTCGGATTTGTCACAATCACACTATAGAATCGCAAGGCCTGTGGCAAAAATCCCTGAACAGTTACTTGTAGCACGTGCAAAGTCGGCCCATTTACTCCTCAGCTTGGTCGGATCAAACCTGCAGCGAGCTTCCATTTACGGATCGTTTCAGGGGAACTAAACACCAATGGGCAAGTTAAGCACCCAGACACTTCCGGCAACACATGGCTGTGGGTCAAAAGATGCGTACCCCAAATGGGTCGCCCTAGTAAATGGAACACATGGACTAAAGCCTGCGGTCCCCTGGTGGGTTTATTTTGACCCATACCCACATCGTCTGTGCACGACCCTGGACGTGACAACACGCTGCCTTGTAGTACCTAAATGGTTTGTCAGGCTTGTGCTCACTGGCTGTGTGGAAGGCCCAAAAAAGTCAAAACTTCCAAATTCCCCAGATCCCAACTCCCAAACCAAAACACTTGCAAAAAACCTCACAACTCAAAACCCAAAAACTCGTCCACTCGTCTACTCCTCCACTTAGCATTCGACCAACAAGGGACCCATGGCCTTGTAGCAGGCTCCCATCGCAGACTTGCAGGCCAAGAACTGGTGGTACGGCTGCAACTTACCTGGCGAAGCAACGAACAACAAAACATGAGGGAGGATCATACGTGGGGGGCCCCTGCCATTTGTTTTTAACCCCCCTGGCTGGATATGTTTTTTGCTTTTTGAAAAACAAAATGTCCAGTGGTGATAGATCCTCTTTCAAAGCAAGAAAATGGAAGGCCCCTACCCCTGAAATTGATATGACAGTTGCTTATTGCCTAGCGAAGCCAGCCACTTTTAACTAGGTCCTCCAGATTTGAGAGGTTAGAATAAGTTGGCACGCTTTCTTCTGTAGTCTAGTCTAGTAGGGGAACCCTCCCACCTAAATTGCGCCCTACAACAGCCAGTTGCGACGAGCGAAGGAAAAACACACGTGCGGTTCAGCCGCCTTTCACGCCTGTTTCCATTTGCTGCCTTTCAAACAACCAAGACTTCCATTTGGCTAGGAACCCTGGGAAAAATATATTTCTAGTAGACAAGGGAAAATAACACATACTCAGTTTCAGCCTGCCCGTCAGCCGAAGGGGCCGTCGCCCTTTGCGCAAAATGGCAGGGCTGACAGCAGGTCAGGTAGGCGTTGAGCTCGATGATTCGCGCAGCCTGCGACATGGCCCAGCAACAAAGGCCATCACCCAAGATACATACGGGGTCCCCGGAATCCCACTATGGGGGGGACAAATTGCCCCGTGTTTGTCTGGATGCCTGAACAAACACGTGGAATATGTGAGCCGTGATTTTTCTATTTGTGTAGGGCCTACACACTGGAAGCACATACCTACGCGGAGGCTACGCGATTATCTTTCTCCCTAGGAATTTGGCTACGCGGGGGCCACGCGGAACATACTTGTTGATAAGTGGCTACGCGGGGGGCTACGCCGGGGCTACGCGAAAGTGCGTTGGCAAACGGACGTAGTAGAAAGTAGAACTAGAAGTAGAAGCAGAAGTGGAAGCTGACAAGCAGCGCGAAAACTTTGCTGCTTGGATCCGCAAGGATAAAACGCCAACACTCATTGTAGGGCTCTGCACCCGCTCTCAAAGCAAGGTGGTTCTTGTCGGTGAACGGGCGACGAACGACCAACCAGCCAACCAACCAACCCACCCAACCAACCCACCCACCCAGCCACCCAACCACCCAACCAACCAACATCAACCAACATCAACCAACATCAACCAACATCAACCAACATCAACCAACATCAACCAACATCAACCAACATCAACCAACATCAACCAACATCAACCAACATCAACCAACATCAACCAACATCAACCAACATCAACCAACCAACCTACCAACCAGCCAGCCAGCCAGCCAGCCAGCCAGCCAGCCAACCAACCAACCAACCAACGTCAACCAACCAACATCAACCAACCAACCAAGCAACCAAGCAAGCAAGCAAGCCAGTCAGCCAAAGCAGATTTTGTCGTAGTGGGCTCGTTTTTGCCCCAGATCGGTGAGCTCGTCACAAAACAGGCGGACTACATGAAATAAAGGACAGCCACAAAAAAGCAACTTTTATGAGCAAACGTACCGGGAGGGCGCTTTGATTTAGTCTCCCGATGCACATGGGTTTCCCAAACAAGGAGATTCCTGTACAAATGGATATGTCTCAAAATAGGGGGTACCTGTTCTGTTCACATCAAAAACCGTCTTTCTGGCCATTAAAATCCCTCAAACTAGGCTGACCCGATAAACCAAAAAAAAACATGGTGGTGATCCTTTTGGTTTCCCTACAAACCAACAAAAAAAAAGGCACCCTCACCCATCATTTACTTTCGGGCTCCATACCCCGACTCACCTCCGAAAAGCCGAATGCACGAGTCCCACCGCCTTGTCCGGTGTCAGCTTTTTGCTGGCCACCTGGCATCCGCCGTGAGGCATGGGTCTGTCCGTTTTTTGTTGGTCCCCGGTTTGCTTGGTTTTAAAGGCTGTGCTCCAGTAGAGAGGTTAGAATAAGTTGGTACCCGATTCTTTGTTGTAGTCTGTGTTAGTAGGGGAACCCTCCCCCAAAAGAAGGTAAAAGGGCAGCGGACCCAGAAGAGAAACCAAAAGGAGAATTGCCGTTTTGGAGGGTCCCCCAAAAACTCACACCCAAATCACAGCCACATCTGTGATACTGCCTGCACAATCCGCTTCGCACCAGTTGGGATACATGAAACCCGATTTAACACTGGTTGATAAACCACACTACAAACTAATTCAGGGTTTTGACTAGCCCAAGTATCATGGCAAATTCCAAGGGGAACCCCCTTGGTGAATTGTCCCTACCATATGTTCCACAACCAGGACTCCAAATCTTGCAGCGGAAGATTGTTCAAGTTATGGTGTGCCTGGGCCTCATTCCATTGTGTCGGTGGTGACATCAAGTGATGCAACCAGTTGCATGTTTTCTTTGTGTTGCGTACTCGGTTTTATGGCGACCCCGTTTCTGGGGTCGAAAGGGACCCATGTATTGTTTGCACATGCCTTTTTCAAAAAGGGGGGGTTCAGAAAGTTACAGTACTCCTGACACCTGCATCTGCCAAACGCGAAACTAAAAAAAGAAAAAAACACACGGCGGTAACAGGGGCTCCCGCCTCTTGCCATGCACATGGCCTGCCTCCATTGACTCAGCAAGCGCCAGTCCCACGGAAAGGGCAAGGGCGCGGCAGGTCCTAATCCCACATTGAATCAACATGTAAACCTCACTTGTTCAAAGGACCTAGAAATAACAGGTTAACCTTTTGGGGCCATGACTAAAACTGGACCAAACTGGGAAAACCAAAAGGTCAAAAGGTTGGCTTTGGACAACTGAGAAACATGTGACCGGCATTCAGTGAGGCTCTAGAGTAAAGGCTCAACCAATGTGGGTAAAAATAGAACTGCAAATAACCCCCAGCAGAAAATTACTCGGACATCTTCGAAACAGAAAAGGCCAAGCAACTAGTATTGCCATCTTGGAATCCTGGGTGGTATCAAGTGCAATAGACGCAAGAAGCCACTTAGGTATGAACCTGGGGAGTCTTTGGCGGCATCATTTACCTGGCATCTGGTTCCTTTTGCGACCGTTCCCTCGACTGCTCACGGGCACGTAGGTTTCCCAGGTCTTTGCGCAAGAGTAAGTCTCCCATGTCCCTCTCCAACTTGACAGGACAGAGCCGGTAAAACAGGGATCCGGATGCATTGTACACCTGAACATTGCAACTTGTAAATGGTGGTGTCCCTTCATTTGGGCGGAAAAAGCAACATGGTTCAAATGGGCAAAATGCATCTTTTAAGGAGCCCTGTCCTGTAAAACAAAAAGCTCTTCCCAAGCGTGCGTCGCATGAATCCTCACGCCTGGAGCCGAGCGAAGTTCACGTACTCCCTGCAAGTGTCAATCCTCGGTGGCGATGCCGACTGGCGCGAACGGCTCGTTTGCCCCGGCGAACAAAACAAACACAGACCCTCCCACCAATTGACGTGGACCCTGACGTTTCGGGGGGTACCGGCGGAAGACAACTGTCCTCTTGAAGGGACCATTTCCCTGTCAGGCTCCATGATAGCAACTGAGACTGGAAGGGGTTCCCCTGTGGAACATCAACCAGGTTTGTCTATGTTGCTACCAGAGTCCTTCCTTGCTTGGACTTCATCCCAAACAACTACCTTGCCGCAAAAATTCGTGGGGGGTCAACAACAACTTACAACATTGTGCCAGATAGCTTGGACCTGAAGTAGATAATTCTAGTCTCGGAATGGAACCTGATGTGCTGCTGAGAACATCCACATGTATCAGGTCATTGGCCCAGCTGCCACTGTAATCAACCAATGGAAAGGTCCACTAAAAGAAGCAAATGCGGCAGGCAGTGCTGCAATAGGTCTTTTAATAGCATCCATCAGAATCAATTGGTAGGACCTCATATGCTGGATAATGCACATGCCTTCCGTTCATAGCAGCAATCGTTGATGCTCCTCGGGTTGATTTCCATGCCAGCAATACCTACTTGAAATGTCCCTTCGAACCTCCCAACATTGTCCACTTTAGACAAACTTGGCCCGGCTTAGTCTTAACACGACCTATGACTCAGTTGTTCAGTGACCCTGGAAAAAGAGGGAACTGAGGGAACCCTTTTTGGGGAAGACAACTTTTAGTAGGACAGCCACCAAAAAACAGGGAAAAAGGGTGCCACTGAACAACTGAGATGATATGGCCATGGGTCCAAACCCCGGTTTATCCCCCAGTGAACATCCGATTCAAACCCCAGTAAAATAGGTTCTAAAATGGGTGGTGAATTCACCTACCAACCCCAAAATGGGATCCCAAAACGGTTTTGACCCAAAACCCTGTACCCCTGATGAACATCAGAATAGGTGGCAAATGGATGTTCATCCACCCCAAAAAATGATCCCGAAACAGTCTTCACCATGGTTTAAAAAACAAAATCTTCTCGGCTAGCAGGGATTATCAACCTCGTTAAAGGCTTGGTTGCTTTTGACCCCCGTGCAAAAAGCTTAACTTTTTTGGGCTTCATTGAATTCCCAGAAAGTTAAAGTAACAAAATCCGTTTGCTTGGGTCCCCTGGAAAAAATGCGCAAATATGTCCAGTAGTGAAATCGATCCCCTTTGAAACCAACAGGGGATTTTTTGTTTTTTTTAAACAAAAAAACTCAACCAAATGGAAGTAAAGATCCAAACTGATAGATCCCCTTTAAAACCAACATGGGAAAATAACAAAATACTCTTAACCAAATGGAAGTAAAGATCCAAACCTCCATATCGCAATCAAGAAGGGATTCGTGGAAGAATGGCCAACACAAAACCGAATCCGGGCCCACGGCATCTCGGTGAGCTGTCGCTCCTCGTTGGCATCGTTGGCCTCGGGAAAAAACAAATCAAACACTGGGGAGGTTTGGAGCTTTGGGGTCAGCGGAAAGCATGGCCCCCACAGGTTTGACACACAAAATCATTTCCATCCAAAAGGTATTCAAAATGGCTGGTCAAAAAAAAGGTACCCAAAAGATGGCTCGCCCGGGCAACCGGAAACCTAAAACCTGGTGGTTGCTTTGATTTCGTAAACCTAAACCTAAAACCTGGTGGCCTCCTAAAACCCCAACACCTTGTCCATATCCTGGGGTTTCATTTTGACCCACACCCATGGCGTTGATGCCAACTAAGGGCGCCAACCTGCTCAGGTTGCTTTTCCACGTGCCCAATCTTACCCCTTAAAACTCCAAGCCCTGGGGAAGTTTTCATCTTTTACAGACATATAGCCCATGTTACCCCAAAAGTTGAAAAGCTGTGTTTTTAAGGGGTAAGCAATGATCAAGGAACCACATCAAGGGCTCACATAGCAGCCGTATACCATCAAGTATCTTCAGCCCAGGGTCACATGGCGCGGACATGTCTCAAATCAAAACATCTAACCAGAAGCCCTCAGGTTCCTTGCCCCAATTCAAAGAATGACCAGGACCCAAGTGGGGCTCACTGGCTGAATGGCTGGCCCAAAAAAAGGTCCAAACTTGTTGTTTACCACTAAAATGGTCTTCCCAAAAAGTTTAAAGTTCATGAACTCAGGAAGTGAGGGGATGAGGGCAATCTTCAGGTAAAACAACTGTGGGTAAGTATTTCAGGGTGCCCTAACCCACTCTGGGACGAATCCAAATCCCAGCAAGCAAGCTTCAGTGATTCACGCCCATAGTGAGATTTAATTCCCAGTCCATCATCCATCGCTCTTATTGGGCATAGCTTGTCTCGGGTAGCCTGCAAGCACTTGGCGGACGTTTGAGAGCTCCCAAGGCACCCTTTTGCCACAGTCCGCAGGAAACGCCCAACTACTCCTTGCACTGAGCGAGGTTCCTTCGCGCAGGGCACTCTCGGCTCCGCTTTGGCGTGTTCTTCCAGGGCCCTTTGGCCGGTGCCAAAGTGGGACGTCGCAAAACACCTTTTGACACGGGCTCGAGGGCCTCACGACTGAAACAAGGTCACCAAATATCAAATGTCAAAGGTGCCAGGAGACCTTGCAGTGCTTTTTCGCGGACCAATTTTTTTTCAGGCAGTCCTGCTTTGATAGTGATTGAATAGATGTTTGCGACATCGGCGTCAAAGGGTCCGAGCGTGCCAGGGTTCTTGCACTAAGTATTGATAGGATTGCGGTGACCACAATTTATCAATCTGAACAAAGAAAGCCCTGAAAACTGTCATACTCGGTATCGCGGCAAACAGCCAGATGGCTCCGCTCACATCTTCAATCCCACGTTGTCCTGCGAGATGACAATACCTTGGCAGGACAAGCCAATACTTTGAGACTAGGTTATACTGGCTTCAGAGCGGAGAAGACAACTAGGCGCCCTGTCACAAGTGGTGCCGTGGTTGAAGATTCCGGTCACTTGCCCCTTGGGGACCAAACGGGACCTGGAAATGAAAGGTGATTACTCACTGGCTGAGTGGATGGCCCAAAAAAAGTCCAAACTTTTTGTTTACCACTAAAATGGTCTTCCCAAAAAGTTTAAAGTTCATGAACTCAGGAAGTGAGATTACCTTTTGGCACCTCTAAACATGGACCAACATGGGAGAGCCAAAAGGTGGACAGCTGGATTTTTGTTTCGGCAAGCTGAGCTCCGGCAGCCTACCACCCAACATCACCTCCCAGCGGTTGCGCGCGAGCGATGAATGTGACCCTAGCCGTTCAGAGGCGGGTGAGGGGTCTGTTTCCGTCGGCAGAGTGCCAAGCGATAGCCACACCAACACAGGCCAAGCCAAGCCAACAACACCAACACGATCATATGGCTGTGGGTCAAAACCCTGTGCCCCTGGTGAACATCAACATAGGTGGAACAAATGGATGTTCAATGGAGCCATAGGTTATGACCCATGGCCATATGCCAAGACGCGAGGCAACAGAACTTCTCCAATTCTTCAAGTAACTGGCAGCAAGCAAAGTGCAAGTCTGGCTCACTGACCAGTGCTCATTGCCTGCTGAGCATGGGTCTACACACAGCGATCAAGGCTGAACTAGACCCAACTGCTGAAGTGGAGCTAGTTCACACAAACGAGCATCACAATCACTCAGAATCAAACAAACCACCGCCAAACCAATCAGCCGAGATTTGATGAACACAACAAGGCCAGGCGTAGCATCCTGAGCTTGGGTTGAAGTCCATACCTCACCCTCACACCGAAGCCAATGGGGCTCCGGAACTCCGTGAAATCACCAAGTCTGGAGTTTTGGCAGCCCAAACAGGGATCCTTACATTATACACCTGAACATTGCCTTGTAGATGGTGGTTTCCCTTTGTTTTGGTGGACAAAGACATGTTTCAACTGGGCAAAATGTATATTTTAAGGAGCCCTGCCAAAGATTTCGGGCGAACGGAGAACCCAACGGAACTCGAGCGAGCCAGTACGTGCCACGCTGTGGGGTGATGTTTTCATGGGAAATATAGGGAGGTCAAGTTCAAGGTCCTCAAAGAGTCTCTCCAGAACAACAAGACAGCATCCTCAGTTGTTCAGTGACCCTGGAAAAAAAGGGAACCCTTCTTGGGAAAACCATTTTTAGTGCTTCCCAGGGCAAGCCATTTTGGCACCGGTTTTTTGAGCCACAGCCACTTCACTTGGTTCTCTCTGGAAGATGTTTGGCCCCTTTGCCAGGTTGTTCTAAAGGAAACCCATGGAAAACCGAAGCGAAACCAATGGGATTCAAATGCTGCGTGGATTGAAACATCAGAATTTCCCACGTCGGGGGAAAAAGCAAAGCCCTTCTGCAGTTCTTTGACTTTCCTTGAACATTAAACAACAAACAAGTACCCCAAAACGAGCTGAGCTTGTGCCCAACCCAAAACGGCTGCTTAAGTATGGCTTGTATGTGGTGCACCTTCAATTGAACATATTAGTTCAAAAAATATATGGAGAAACACAAAAAGAGCCACCATCCCAATCTATAATGGGCAACCACTACAACGGGAAACCGCTACCATCTGGCAGATTCTGCCCAGGAAATACAGGAACCCCAGCTCAGATCTCGGCTACTCTTCTTGGACTTGAGACCTGTTTTCTTTGTGTTTTTTTCCGCTCGTACCCCTGGAGACAAAGAGAAAGAGAAAGGAATCGCTCGCCCCTTGGCATATTCCCTTGGCATAGAATGAGAGGGATTCCCGTATCACAAAATGGGAATCCCTAAACTTGGATATTCAACCCACCTAGCAAGTAGGTGGACCACAGGTCCTATTGCGCCGTGTGTTTTCGGCAAATTTTTGCTTTTTGGTGGCTTTGGAGGGGGTTGGGGGGTGGGGGGGGGGGGGGATGTGTATGCCTGTCGTTGAAGCACTTGCCCTGATTATCCTTCTTCGATTGCGCGGCTGGCGCGCACCTCCACTCATTTTTGAACATATTCGTTCCTTTTGGATCTGTCCCATTGCGGAGCTCGATGAGTTTCATCAGGCATGATACATGGGGGATGGTTTCAATCAAACAGAAATTCTTCTCTTGTTGCTGTAAAGTTGACTAGCACCATCGCCATTTCCCTATGCCAGGTTCTTTCGTTTTCTGCCAATGGCAGTATCCAGCGCTTCGTGCAGGAGACTGCGTTGCTTGCGAGGCGATCGGTTTTCTGCTTTGCCTGCGGGTGCGCTGCGCTTCTTTTGGCAAGGGGAGACCATCCACCCGAGACCGGAGCCAGGCCGGGGGCCCCCGCAAACATACCCACATCCAAAATGAAAGCTCAGATGCCACCTGCTTGATACTTTTTGAAGATCAGACGCCACCTGCCTTTTTCCGCTTGATACCTGACAGGTGAACAACTCCAAGCTGCTGACTCTCGTGAAACACCCGCGAAAGTGCGTGTGCATATTTGCTGACGGCAATGTTGCATGGAACTCAGCGGCAAAGGCTGCGTCGCATCAATTGCGAGTCTTTTGCAGGCCCACCCATCACGGTGCCGGAAAGATAAGCGGGCAAGCGGGAACGCAATGTACAGATAGGAGTTGGGGTGCTCTGAAGCCGTGGCTACCCCGCCGCCTGATCTTGAAGATCAAAGAAGGCGGGGAGTCACGGCTCAATGAAGAAGCTGTGAAGTATGTGTACCAATGGATGTGGAGACAGCACATCATGCAGGCGGCGGGGCCTTGACACCCTCCCAATTCCTGCACGAGCTGCGAGACATCATGTGAAAGAAGATTGCGGCCAAGTAGTTTTCGAGTATGCTAGTTTCTAAAGATTGTTAAATACCTTGCCATCACCAGTATTTTGCAGCAACAGACATTGACTTCGCGCCACGGCGCAATGGGACCCGTGAACCAAGTAAGTTGTAATCATGGTTATAGTTATAATGGACTAACTCCAGTATATCAAGTTGTAGTCATGGCAATAACCTGCCTGACGTCGGTTGCACAAGTTGCACATGCAAGGGGGCCCAAACAACATTCCAAGGAGGTCTGACGGCAACATCATGGAGGTATAACTAAATTAACTAGGCTGTCCTCAGATCCCCCGCTAAAAGTTTAACTTTTAGTGGGCTAAACGGAAAACCAACCACTAAACACTAAACAGGTCTAAAAAGCTAAGGAACCGGATGGCTGGTTGAGCCACCAAGTTCACGCCAAATCAGCTGCCTTCTAATTGGCTTAGCTTGGCGGTTTAACCCTAGGGAGTAGCTTCCCCATTTGGATTCAAACGGACCTTGGACTCAACGCCCCAACCAATTGCCTCACTTCCGGAGTGGATGGCCAAAAAGAAAGAGGTCTAAAACTTCGTGTTTGCCACTAAGCGGTCGTCCCAAAACGTGCTCAGCAAGAATTAATGAGGGAATGACCCTGAAAGAAACCATCCCACAAGTGATTTCTTTAAAGGGGACTCCTGGGTTCATTCCCTCAAACCCCTACC